ATTCCTTCACCTTCTTTCTGGACAGAGCATTCTTTTAGGATACCTTGAAATAAATGGTAAATTAAGATAAAGTCTGGAACAATTATCGCTTGAACTTCATTGCAATATAAGAGTTCATGACATTTTTGGCCATAACTTTTGTTAAAAAAAAGTTTAGCGTTGTTCTCATATGAAAAAGTCATTTTGAAATACACGATAAAAATTACATTCTTCCATTAAAAAAAGTTTGTCGAACCCTGTATATATTGTACTAAAAATGAACTTAACAGGATGACTGGCGATAAGTGCCCAAAATTTCAGGAGGTGTTTCTAATTGCCATATGCAATAAAAAAATTCCTATAAACCCCTGCCCAAATCTCAATGTTAAAAAAGTAATTTAATGTTTTTTTATATTACAAGTAATTAAGGTTTTTAGTTGAGATAAAAAAGTCAATGGCACGAGCGGGATTCTAACCCACGATCTTCGGATTGATACGCCGCTGCTCTACCACTTGAGCTATCGAGACCTCGATCCACTCGGACACCAGCTTCCCATCTCAACCCCACCTTTTGAATTTTTTCCTCGTTTTTGCCATTTTTCACATGTCGTGTAATCGGATTGGATTCTCGACGACAAATGAAATGGCCACGGAGAGCTTTAGTGAAGTATACTTCATTTAAATTCATTAAATTCATAAATTTCGTGGTCCGCTTGACCAATTATTATATTACAATTAATTAAGATTTTTAGTTGAGATAAAAAAGTTAATGGCACGAGCGGGATTCGAACCCACGATCTTCGGCTTGATATGCCGCTGCTCTACCACTTGAACTATTGTGAGCTCGATCCACTCGGACACCAACTTCCCTTCTCAACCGCACCTTTTTGAATTTTCCCTCCCCTTAATTAATTGTAATATATTAATTGGTCAAGTGGACCACGAAATTAGTGAATTTAGTTTTTTTTATTTATTTTTATTTTTCGACTTAGGTCCATTAAATTGCTGATAAACTTCAGAATTACTGACCGCGTATTCTGGTTTGTGCCACCTGAAAGAACGTTAAATTTGTTGTAAGACAACTTATTTACATTGCAAAATTAATGGAAAAGTTTTATACGAAAAATTTAGAAAAAACAAAAATGTTGAAATTTGGAATTTTTTGAAAATGTTGGACTGGTAACTGCAACAGTAATGCTACTGCTGCAGGGAGAGAATACCAAGCTTGTTTTCCACAATGCGACGTACCAGCAGATCGCGCCTTGCAACTACTTCATCAGAGGATGAGGGAAACTGGTTCTTTCACTTGAAGAACGTGGGAAGATAATCAACGAATTGGTGCAGAGGAGGAAATTTCCTCCGTAACCGTAAACCGTAAATGAAATGCATATCAGCAAGATGTTCATTAGGAAACAAAGACATATCACATAAATCACCAACCTGAGGATGTTGCCAGATGATAACATAAAGCTAACTGATTGAATCGAACTATAAAGAACTGACACGAAACTCAAGAACCAGACGGATTTCTTGAAAAATTGAGCATGCCCCCTCTTCATCGACACACATTTTTCAAACAAAATGCAAATTTTGGGCCTTCCAGAAGCGCAATAAAAAAAGTTTGGTATACACCTGGTAGCTAATGGAATGGGGAACTTTTAAGAGAACTCGCAAAGCTCCAGGAATTTGTAGTTATTAACAGTTACCAATCCAACATTTTCAAAAAATTCCAAATTTCAAATTTTGTTTTGCTGAATTTTTCGTGCAGAACTTTTCTATTGACAATGTAGCTAAGTTTGCTTACAGCAAATTTAACGTTCTTTCAGGTGGCCCAAACCAGATTTTTCAACAGTCAGTAATTCTGAAGTTTATATGCAATTTAATTGACCTAAGTCGACAAAAAACCCAAAACCTTAACTTACTTCATCGTTGAGATTTGCACCGGGGTTTATAGGATGTTTTTTGTTGCATACATTGAGTAGAAACACCTCCTGAAATTTTCGACACTTATTGCCAGTCACCCTAAATAGTTTAAAATAAACTAGATGAAAAATCATTAGACATTTATGTATAATCTTTTCGATATTTTGTTTATTTAAGAAAAAAAGGTGAATGAAACATTTACCTCTAGTTAATTTTTTATAATATCAGAAGAGTGGATTAAAAGGCACTAATTTTCTATAGTCAAGCCATATCAGGTAGCATCCTACTCGCTCTCTATACGGAGCCAAGGTTCCACTATGTGGGGCAGCTAGAGCAACAATAGTGCTGTCTAGATGTCATACGCGTATGGTCTATTCTACCTTCTATGATTTTACTGCATTAGAAATTTCATCCATTATTTTCCATTTGGCTTAGTTTCGTTCTTTCTTATTTCTTTTAAGCTTTAACCTAAACTGTACTGAATTTAATTAATTTTACAATTTTAATCGTTCTAATGAAACAAGATCTCCAAATGAAATTCCTGTAGAATTTTGTACATTCTCCGTGGTCAACGAGACGAGAGGTCACTAACGGTATATCAATTATTATCCTAAGCACGTAATTAAGGGACGGCGTGGCGGTGCGGTCATTTCGCCCCTATAGCCAACCACCTTTGACTCTCTTGCGCCTAAATGACATCCCTCTCTTCCAGCTTTTTGGACAAACACATTTTCCTAAATAAATAAACATTTAACCGTCAATTGACCCTTTGTTTTGTATGTACAGCAAAGCAATGACGAGTAAAGATAATTCGAAACGTTCCAGGAAACGTTTAAAATTTGTAATAATAAAAAACTCTTCATCAATCAGTCGAATTTGTCAAAATTTCCTCTTTTGATTTGTTTTTATTGGAAATAAGTTCAATCAAGGTTAGGTTTTCTTTTAGTGATTATCAAGAGATCATAAAGTTCAAGTTAAGGAGTGTGTTTTAACGCCTCCTAACGCTTATAACAACCTTTCAAACACTCACAACCTAAAAACAACATCGATACACTCCCTAAAAAGTTTCGTTTCAAGAAGGGACAAATTGCAAGCTGTAAAGAGAAAATTTCGGCATTTTGCATTATTTTATCATTCGCGTCCTTTTTCAACGTTAAACTAAACAAAATCCTACAAGTTCAGCAACCGTCAGTTCTCCTAGAGAAATTGCAGAATGTAGCATTGTTCTTATAAATTTTCTTTGGATCTTCTTTTCTGGTTGTCATCAAACCATTTAACTTTCACATAATTTAGTCTATGCATTCATTCAAACTGGATGATACCAAAAAATAAGAAATCTAACATGAATGCTTAGATGTATTGACAAGTTTTTAATATAGAGCCAATAGAGACTTACCAATCCGTTAGCCACGGTTTTTTTCCTTTCCTCCATAAATTTTTTCATCTTTGAAAAAGTAATTAAAAAAGAAATTACACCACTAAAAAGGACATTAAAGGAGGTTTACAAGTTTAGTATTGATCACATCTTATTGGAAATTTAACGTAGTTTTCAATGGTGTCAACGGATTTGTCCAAAACCTTTTAGTTTTGGAGTTACCATTGTTTATTCTAAGTTAATTTTCCACCTTACCATTCCTTCAATCACTGTTTTTCCTTTCCTTCATCAATTTGTTCGTCTTTGTAAAAAGTAATTAAAAATGCAATTGCACCACTAAAAGGGATATTAATTGGAGTACCTCTGCTGAAATTTGCTGGTCTCTAGGTTTGGAAATAGTATTTTAAAATCACCATAGTAAATTCTTCAACTTTGAAATTTTTTTTCTTTAATGTTTCGTACTAAAACGCGTATTTCACGAAAGTTTACAAGTTTAGTATTAATCACATCTTATTGGAAATTTAACTTAGTTTTCAATGGTGTCAACGGATTTGTCCAAAACCTTTTGGTTTTGGAGTTATTGTTTATTTGAAGCAAGGTCGTGAAATCTTCAAAAATAAAAAAAAGTGGAATAACTCCGAAACGTAGACATTCGGATCATAGTTAATTAGGACATTTTGGTTCCGTTTTGAATGTAGAATCCACTGGCAAAGTTTGTAACACGAGTAGCCGAACATCCTGTATATTTCCATTTTTCAAAAAGTTTTCTTTGCGTGTTTTATACGTGTTAGATTATTTTATTTTATCCCTATTATTAGACATTTATGTTGACAGACCATGACAATTTTTATAGGCTTAGTACAAAACCAGAAAAATTTCACTGCAAGCACTTCAAAAATTAATCTATTTTTTTGCAGGGATAAACATCTTTTTTAAAAAACGCCGTAACAGTAAATGTCGAAGAACACTAATTATTATTATTATTATATAAAACTAAATTTAATAAATAAAGAAATATATTCAGTTTTACAAAATTGTTACAGTACATTGTGAGTTTTGGATTTCATCTCGAGAGCATAATCATGGGAAAGGGATGATTAAAAACAAATCCATTCACACTGCCTTGATGTGCCAATCTTTCATCCTTAGATTTAATTAAATAAATTAATTAAAATTTTCTCATGCATTTATTTTAATTGATTCAGAAATTAAAACACAATAACGGTTAAATGAACAATTTTTAGTTCCAAAAAAGAGAAGAGAGGTGACTATGTCTAGCAGTCTCATCGATGCTTATTCATGCTATGTTAGCTTAGATCACCGTGAAGGCCTCATGGTAGAATTTCGCTTAGTTTAAAGTTCACCTAACCAACCAAGACTCATTGGCAGAAAGTCCAACAAAAAATACTACGTACATATGCATTACTATAGGTATTAGATACTTATGTGATAGAAAGCGTTCTAACAATTATCGCTTCAATCCGATGTTCAACGTATAAAATTTTTAATGTTCACGTGTATGGAATAATAACATCCCCACTGACATAATCATCTACTGTATTGCAACAATCATGTCTTCACCAGTTACTCTTGGATACAGAATCTTTCCCAGAAATTCGAATTTCAAGACGTCTGAAGCACAGCCACGCGATTCTATGGTTGAACGATATCCCAGCGATGACAAACCATATTTCACATCTTAAACAAATTCGGTTCCACTTACCAAGGACGACGAGGTTGACTGGTGGTGCATGCTGGCTGCACGACCATGGGCCGGAATCGGTCGGCCTCACGCGTGTGATGATGAGGCTGGAGGCAGATCTGTCGGGGTGGTAACGCGGATCTTGGCCGATCGGCTCGCCCCTGTGCTTCCAGGCGATGGCTCCGTTTGTCCCCGCTGATGACCCACGACACGGAAGGACCGCTCTGCCTCCTTCGCGCACCCTCACCTCCACTCCATAATCACCGACAACACCTTTAAAACAGAAAAAGAAAAATGAAACATTTTACATCAACGCCACAAATTATATATATATTAAATTTATCGGCCAGGTATACAAAAAATTATTAATAATAGATAATAATCAATAGATAATTATAACGCTATCTAGCAAAAAACAATAAAAATAGAACATCCTTAAATTTTAGCTATTAGTTTAAAGTCCCAACAAAGGTTATATGTCGAGACCTAAAGTTTTATCAAGCTAGGGAAACTAAACAGCAAATGAAAATCTATTCTTTCTAAAAATAAAATAAACTGTATGAAAGATTCGCTAATTTCGTGGTCCGCTTGACCAATTAATATATTACAATTAATTAAGGTTTTTAGTTGAGATAAAAAAGTCAATGGCACGAGCGGGATTCGAACCCTCGATCTTCGGCTTGGTACGCCGCTGCTCTACCACTTGAGCTATCGTGACCTCGATCCACTCGGACACCAACTTCCCATCTCAACCCCACCTTTTGAATTTTCCCTCCTTTTTCCATTCGGTCACGATAGCTCAAGTGGTAGAGCAGCGGCGTATCAAGCCGAAGATCGTGGGTTCGAATCCCGCTCGTGCCATTGAATTTTTTATCTCAACTAAAAACTTTAATTAATTGTAATGTATGAAAGATATTTTTTAAAAATTAAAACGAGATTTAAACGAAAAAAACTTTTTCCAGATGTTGTTGTAGCCATCGGATTCCGACAAAAACATTCTGCGCGTTGATAACTGTACAAAAAATTATTTAACTATCCTGCGGCGTTCTTTATACTGGATAGCGTTTTTTTAACCTAAATAAATATCTATAAAAACTATCAGAGTACAATTCAGTTTTTATCTAGACGACGAATAAAATAGTTTATTACAACTGTCATTAGTACCATTGAAATATAACTTTAATTGGTGAATGAAATCTCCCAATTCAGCGACAAGTTGATAACGTAATCATAATCATAGGACTATAAATTTACTATTATACTATATAAGACTATTCCTTTTTAACAGTTAAAAAGTATTGTAATATAAAATATATAAGCATAGGAAGGCTATCGTTCTAGCGGAATATCCAGATATTGCCTTTTTGTAAATAGGAATAAATCGTAACATAAATATGCCACACGAATTCCGGCGAATCGTCTAGAAGGTTTTCTCGTTTCTTCTTCCCCAACTTAGTACAACCGAAAGTTGGCACGGCGTCAGAAGAGTCACAATAACTTATTGTTTACCTTGTAAACAAGTATTCGATTGTTCATACATCAAAAGCTCATTTTTCTAATATATATAAAGGTTATTGTTACGCTCCATATACAAAAGTATAAAAACCCCATACGTGGATGTGTGGAGGGGGACTGCGAGGAAGAAAGACAGAAAAGAGAGAGAGAGAGAGAGAGAGAGAGAGAGATGCAGAGAGATGCAGAGAGATCAGTTTATTTAAATTGTATTGTGCGTTAACCCAGTACACCTTTCCCCTAAGCCTGCTTTAATCTGAAACATGAAAAATGGAAGAATACGCCTGTACAAAAAAAAAAAAAAAAAAAAAAAAAAAAAAAAAAAAAAAAAAAAAAAAAAAAAAAAAAAATGTTCGCCTAAATGAAAAACTACAAATCAAACAGATATCGAAGAATAATATACAAAAATTGGAAAAGGCAAACGGGCCATAATTTACGTAATATTAAAAGTTAGGGCGAAAAGCTTTTTTTTTAAATCCACGTTATGAATCGACGAAGTATAATATATTAATAGACCAGGACATTTCAAATTAATAAAAAGATTCAAATAGTTTAAAGCATACAGGGAAATGAATTTTCTCTTTATTAACTGTCAGGTCTAGATATATAATTTTTTTCTTCAAATGTTAAAACCCACGCAAAAATCTTTTTACATTATATTATTTGAAACTTCTATTTGTTTAAACTAGAAAGGTTTCAACAACAAAAAACTAAAAAAATAACATTAAAATAATAATCTGGCTAGGTTTACACGTTGTTCGTTTCATTTTTCTAATTAGGTATCTAGAAGTTCGTAATAAAATATTTAGCTACTTATTACAAATTATTGCTTATTACATGGGTACAATTTTTTCAGAAAACATCATAAGTGCGGTAAGAGAAATTTCTATACAGTCAAATCCTTTATATCACTGCTGACCTATCTATACACACTAAGACCATTCTTACAACCAACTTACAAACAATTTTATCTCCTATCTCCAATCTTACTCAAGTTACCTCCAATATATAGGAGAATCTTGAACTCATTGAAGAATGTAAAAAGTGGAGGACAAGTCTGAATGAATAAAAATGTATTCAGTGTACGCCCAGCAATGTACATCAACAACAAAGGGATAACAATTTCAATTCAAGTCAAATACTTTGGGCTATATCTAGATGGCAAAGCGAGTGGAATCCCAACACAAGTCGTAACAGGCAACTCAACAGAAGACTTAGGAGAACTACGAAGACTTACAGGAACGAAGACTATCTTGATCGTAAACATTAAACTAACCTAATACAAGATTTTACTACGACCACTTAGGGAAACCATTGTCGGGTTCTGCCATCTAACATCCAGTGCATCTATTCCTTCCAGTCAAATATCCTCAGATAAATCGTCCTTACTACGTCACTAACCTCACTATCCACAATGACGTCATTATTCCTTTGTCAATGAACTGATCCTATTCCATGGTTCCTGATTCTAAAAGTTTCTCACCAACCTTTTGATTCATTTTAACCCAACTGCTCAAGCCCTCTCTCTACATTCCCATCCCGAGTACGTTAGCTTGCTTAATCAACGATGGCCTCGAATCCTCCTAGCCTTAACCCCTCAAATTGAGAGCCAGCACTGGGTCGTTTGTCATGGCATGTGTCATTCGGGTGCAGCGATGGCCTCAGTGTTAGTGGTGTGACCATGTGAAAAAATTGTATTGTGATTATATTTGTTATACATACTAATATGTATAAAGTACAAACTGAAAGTTTAGGAATGTAGATTTTCTTTTTTAGAGGTTTAATAATCAAATATGAATAAATCAAGCATTCTTCACAATGCCTTTCTATTTTATTAGAAATTGCTAAAAGATTCTCAGAATTGAATCTTCGTAAAAGTATTGAATATTAGAAATATGTAATGTAGAAAATCAATACTAAAGAATATACTGGAAAGGTGGTTTGGTACAAAACTTATAGAATTATATTTTATTCATTATTTGGCTAGCTAACTATGGAAATTTTATTAAATTTGCCTATCTTTTGTACAAAGGTATCCTTTTGAATTCATAAAATATATTCCGTGTCGCTAAAGTGTATTTCTTTGCAAACTAACCGCGATTTTATTTATAAAAAATATCAATAAATCATCAGTTAATGAACTGAATATTAAAAATGTGAGGTTGTTGGATCAAATTGGGCGCGATAAAACAATTTTTAAGTAATCTTTGTTAATTAAAAACGAGTTTCTTGTATCAAATTTGGCGTGATAAAATAATTTTTATGGTAATCGTCGTGGTTAATTGTATTATGGTAGAAATGAAATAATAAAACAATAAAAATGTAAACAGGTGACGTAATCTGTTACGTACAATTACACAAAATTAAACTTACGTTTCTAAAATTTATTGTTTATTGAATATCATGTTCTATACGCACGGCTAAAAGTAATTATTGCGAAGAGATCCGCTTTAATTAGAAAACGCCGTAAATTCGGCAGTAGAGAGATAAATATTTGATAATTATATATATAATTTAAACAATTAATCTAATTGACCCTGGTTTTTGTAGTCAATTGTTTTATTTAATTCATTCATCAATTTTGATCTATCAAATCTAGAGTAAATAATAGAACCTATAAAACTGTCTTTTCTGTAAAACCATTAATATAAAAGCAGGACTAACGAACAAAATGGATTTAATCCTGAAGGTTTCATTTTTTTACCTTTGCTTCGGCAATTGTTTCCTCTTCGATCAAATTTTTAAGTCCGTAGCCCTTATAAAATCCTAAACTACACAGTTACTTCCAAATCATTTGATTGTAGTACAGTTTTATAATTAAACGGTTTGATCAGCTTTCCAATTCTGTTCTGACTGACCAACACCTTTGTTCTTTCATTATTGTACTTTTAGCGTTTCATTGTCAGATGTTCCAGGTTTTCCTTCTCTTCGCATGCTAAATATAGATCACTCCGTCTTTGCCCTAATTTCTTCAAATACGATCCATTATTCCATGGTTAAACCTGTTTCTATTTAATGTAAGTTCTTTCTTTTTTAGACATGGGAAAGTTAAAGAACCACGGTCTTCTGCTGGTCGTCGGGTTTATATCCCGGTAAAATTTACCAGTGGAGTAGGAGACTAGTTGCTTGTTCCATGTGTCATATACTTCCTTTTTCAAATCGCCTTTGAACTCCTCCACTGGTATGGGGAATTCTAAATTTAGCCCTTTCTTCACAGCTTGCCTTGCCATGCTGCCGACAAGGTTGGACTCGTCCATGGCCCCTTATCTAACAGTAGGTCCATTCGACTTGCCATTCTAATAGCCTCTGGCTGAGTTCCATAATTTTGGACATCATGCAGAAGCAACCTGACTGTAAGCTGAAATTTTTAATGCTCTCTATCCCGCTTATTGAATTCGTCAGGAAAAACACTTTCTTTTCCCTTAAATTTCCTCGTAATATGGATTCCAATGTTATTCAAATGCCGATTAGTTGTTAGTTATATAGCGTCGTCTTTTATTATACCATACAAGACATCAAATTGGACAGGTAAACTACCATTAAAGACCTTCGAATCACCTACTTTAACAACATGACAATTAACTTTCATTGCATTTCAATAATTAATAGGGTTAATCAAATTTTAGGTTTTCTACATAGAATTGCAAAAAATTTTAGTATGCGGAAGCAATGATTGTACTTAATAGAAAACGTACATCGACTAGTTATTATCGCTCAATCTGGCGCACAATTAGTTTTTCTATTTTGAGTATCGTTTTGGC